TCACGACACACACCTATCGTTCCACTTCAATCCTTTCTACTGCACCTCCCCACCAATCCCATTGTGTATGTGTGGGCACATGAGCAGCTGTATGTCAGCGTATGTGTGAACACCCCAGATGAGTATAAGGTCAAGCTTGGCTCTGATGCCTCTAACAATTGAATAGCTCGCCAAGACCAACAGCTGACGTATAAATAGCAACCTACTTGAATGAGTCAGTGAAGGGATCCTGCACTTCCACAACACTATCCCATTGTCCCATCAGGGAGGAAAGGTGAAAAATCCAAATGATTTCTGGTATATGGAATAATAGGGAAAGACAGATACGCAACACTGCCAGGAGGTGGTGGTAATCACTTATCAAATATTCTGCTGCCTTTGTTTTAGAGCGTCCACTAAACACAGAAAGCAGTAGAGGGCAGCAACAAGAAACCAACTGGATTGTACTTACTCAAAAGACTTTAAAAATCTCAGATACGGAGCTCAGACAGGACTGTAAAACACAAGGAGGAAAATCGCTGGAAATGCACGGATGGACACAGGGCACATAGCAGGAGTGTGATACAATACCCTCCCGTTGACTGGGGAATGAGTCCAACTTCAACAACACTCGAGAAGTTCAACACCATCCAGGACAAAGCAGCGCACTGCATTGGCAGTGTGCCCGCCAACGTTAACATTCACTTCCTTCACAATTAATGCATAGTAGCAACAGTTTGAGTCATATAAAAGATACACTGCAGAAATTCACCGAAGCACCTTTGGATTGAGGGGTTGAGTGGCCTACTCCTGCTCCCAATTTGTATATTTGCATCAGCGAGGTCCTACTATCAATTCTGACGTGACTTATCAAATGGGCGAACTTCACTGCCAATATCGCAAGGATGCTAAAAATATTTCAGTCACAAAAACCAGGATGGTGAAGGATTAGTCAATAAAGATCCTGAACTGATTTTCAGCAGGATTATTCATTTCATTTTTGACATCAATGACAATTGACAAATAATATCCACTTGCAAAATCCTCTTGGTGCTTTCGAGGGACTTATGAATGATTTCTGCAGAATTTCCTATTTGTGTGTTTATCTGTATGACCCGAGGCCTTGAACCCTCACTCACTACATCCCACCAGCTTTATTTTCAACCTGCCTCTCCAGCTTGTGGGCTCCTCCTGTGCTAGTGAAGCAGTAATGTCACCCAACTAGTAATCCCTAAGAACCAAGTTCATGTTCTGGGGACATAGGTTTGAATCCCACTGTGGTACATGGCAAATACAATAAAAATCTATAATAACTTCTATAAAAAGCTAGCCTAATGGCAATCATGTAACTGCCACTGATGGTCACTAAAAAGCCATCTGATTCACAAATGTCCTTCAGGGAAGGAAATCTGCCATCCATACCTGCATCTACCTTCACTTCACTCTACTCCCACAGCAATGTGGTTGATTCAGTGCAGTTTTGGTCTCCTGACCTCCAGAAAGATGCTCTGTTTGTGGAGAGAGTTCAACAAAGGTTTACCAAACTGGTTCCTTGGATGGCAGGACTGATGCATGAAGAGAGACCAAATCAGCTGGGACTG